GGAAAGATCACCGACCCTGCAGACCCATCCACTTTAGTTGAAGCGTCAGTATATAGATGAGTATGCTCACTGTATTTCTCATATAACAAGAGAAGAGAAAGCTGCTTTAGCGCTGGAGACGAGAGCCGGGCTTTTGACCCTATGCCTGGAACCGTGAGTTCAACATGTGCATAGGTCATACTCCATGGGATAGTTGAAATTCTCGATGGAGTTGTATATCCCGTAGGAATGCGTGTGCGATATGACAAGACTGTCTGGCAAAATGAGGCACGAAGTTGGGCTTCTGGCAGTGAAGCTAGATGATGGGCAGGGGCACGAGTAAGATGCCTCACGTGTGCTCTGAGCACTTCCATCATGATATGCGTCTTTAGCGGGTAGTCATTAGCGATCTCGATTGTCTCAGCAGTTGATGAACATCGCGGTAGCCCCAGACAAACTCGCAGAGCCATAGCCTGGATGCTTTCTAGAGTCCGAATGTTGGTTCTACAGGTGTTGGTCAACACAGGCAAACTGTAGCGCAAATAGCCAAGAAAAAGTGTCTTGTACAATTGCATCATTGTATGTACTGAAGTCTCCCAGGTTTTTCCTCCGAGATACTTGAATAAGTTAGCAATTTCTGTCAGCCTCTCCTTCAAGTGGGCCACATGTGGGCCCCAGCAGAGATCTCTATCAATTAATACGCCTAGAACTCTGTGCGTCCTGACATATGGTATGACTTGGCCATCGATTGATATAGCGTATGGTCTCATTGGCTTTCGACTAAAAGCAATCAATGCGCATTTCGCTGGCGAGATTTTCAGACCCTGGTCCTTGAGGTACACTGATACCAACGTCACTGCTTTCTGAAGTCTTGCGCGTACCTGAGGTCTTGTCACGCCAGATGCCCAGACGCAGATGTCGTCAGCGTACATGGATAACTTGACCACACTTGGTAGTCGTTCTACAAGACCAATGAGAACTAGGTTGAAGAGGGTTGGACTCAAGACGCCACCTTGCGGGACTCCACGATGCGATGGGTATTGGGAGGTTGGACCATCTGCAGTGTTCACAAATAAGGTCCACCCTTGTAAATAACTGCGTGTCCAACAATACAGATGTCCGCCTAGGCCCACTGACTCAATGGCTTCGAGGATGGCGTCATGTAGAACGTTGTCGTATACTCCTTTTACGTCAAGGAACATGGCAGCAGATAGTCGTTTACATGCCTTTTGTTGCTGGACATATGTGACGAGATCTATAACATTGTCGATCGAACATCGGTGACGGCGAAAACCAGCCATGGCGTTCGGATATATCTCATAGTATTCCAGGTACCATTCAAGCCTGGCCAAGATCATTCTCTTCATTACCTTTCCTACGCAACTTGAGAGTGCGATCGGTCGGTAAGAAACAATGTCCAGGGGAGATTTGCCAGGCTTAAGAATCGGTACCAAGCGGCTAATATTCCACTCTTGCAGAACGACGCCAGCTTGCCAAGAATCGTTGAAGATGTTAAGGAGTGCTTCTCGTGCCCGTTTACCAAGGTTGCACAGCATCCTGTATGAGATGTCATCCGGGCCAGTTGACGACGACTTATTACATAAGACGAGCACCGCATCGAGCTCCTGTGATATAAACGGTAGATCCATACGCGGGTCTCGTGAGTGAGGGATATGATTCATTGTATGTAGGCTTGTGTACGCTGTCTGGCCCACGGTCATAGCGCATAAATCTTCTGCTACCTCAATTTCGTGCCAGCCATGAAAAAGTGCAAGGGCTTTGAAGGGAAAACGCTGCTCTGGAACAGAACGTAGGCCTCGCACAATTCTCCATATCTGAGACAGTGGTTTATGAGGATCTAGCGACGCACAAAATTTCCTCCATCGTTGGGTGTCTAATTTGTCGAGGCGCCGTTGTATCTTCTTTTGGATGCGCCGGGCTGTTCGTAGATCGTCTGTGGAATTTGTGCGTCGGTATCGTCTTTCGGCACTATGGCGGATCGCACGAAGTCACTCCAGCTCGTGGTCAAATTCAGAGTACTTCGAAGAGCATATTATTGTGCGCATAGCCACATGTGCAGTTTTCTTAATAGCTTGCTGAAGACCATTGGACAAGCCTTCTTCACAAGCATTCTCAAGTTGAGTTTTAAACACACTCCAATCTATTCTTTGTGTTCTGGTAGAGGAGTACGTGTTCGAAATACCTTTAATCTTCAGGTAAGTGGGGATGTGGTCGCTTCCGTGTGTTTCAATGTCCAAAAACCACTTTACCCGTGTAGCAAATTGGCGTGAAACAAAGGACGAATCAAGGCAGCTGCTATATGTAGTGCCTCGCAAAAACGTAGGACTGGCGTCATTCAGAAGGACGAGACCATGGCTGGAAACCAATGATGCTAGACGTCGTCCCGTTGAATTAAGCCTTGAGCTTCCCCAGATGGGATGATGCGCATTGAAATCCCCGGTGATAACCCTCGGACCCGGATGTGCCCTTAATATGCCGTCTAGTTTGTTGGTGTCGAATTGACTTGATGGGGATAGATACACACCTAGAAGTACGAATGTCACCTTTCCTTTTTTAACAGACAAGCACACATACTGATTGCCGTCGTGAGGTTGCACTGGCTGGACGACGTAAGTAAGCTCCCAGTGAATAAATACAACAACCTTGCTACTTTAGATGTCACTTGAAGAGAAAAATGACTCGTAGCCGGATAATCTGATTGGGCGCGATAATTTCGGTTCACATATAATCATAATAGGGAATCGGTACAGATGAACGAACTGGCGAAAATCAGATATGCGAGATCTCAGACCTCTTGCGTTCCACTGAAAAATCGAAACTTCTCTGACCTCCTGTCGGAACGACTTGTGGTTGTCGGCCATGGCTTTACTGGAGGCTTGCAAGGACCGGACTCAACGCGTCCAGCACCTGTAAACCGCTCCTAGCCGTTGGCGTATCGATGCTTGTCAGAAGACTTCTGATGACACTCACAATGAATCGCAGCATAGGAATAATTTGACGATGTGCTTTTGGAGCCTCGTCATCAGCAGCATTGGCTTTCACTAGGAGCAGAGAGCGGGAAGGCTGCTGGGAAGACCGTGCGTTCGCAAGCACCGGCCAGTCTTCAGGGGAGAGAGGCTTCGCCGGTAGAGGTATTCTTGTACTCTCTGGCTTTCTACTGGATGTTGATGGTGGTGTAGACCGAAGTGGTGCATGAATATCACCATGACTGGAGCGCTTCCGTCGGTGGCGACGTCGACGCCGGATTTTCTGTGAAGCTTCTCTATGGGTGGAGTTATCCCTGACCATTTCTTTCAGGATGCCCATTTCTTTCTTGAGTCTTGGGGATTCCTTAGACGTGGCTTCATGCGTACCTCGACAATTGCCACACCTATAAGTTGTTGCACAAAAGGTGTCTACCGTGTGCGCCTCCGCGCACCGGGGGCATACGGTAGAGTTCGCACAGACGCCCTTGACATGGCCGATCTTGAAACACTTGTGGCACTGAAGCGGCTTTGGGACAAAATGCCGAAGTCTGTACTTCCCATTGTTCCCATGGAGGTAAAAGCGCCACTGAAGGAGCCTGCGTAGACACTAGTGCCAGATTCTCCTCTAGTAATTATTGTGTGAAACTCTTTGTCACAATCTTTCACCCTATACCGTGATGCACGTTGGCTATCTTTCATTCTCGTTCGCCCTATCGGTTGCGCTCACGTCGACGCCGCTTAGATAACGCGCGCTTGAAATTCAAAAGCGCGCTGGAAACTCGTCTGTGCCCTCGCACGTTTTGCCCTCTTAAATTCGTAGTCGTGGTATACCAACGAGACTCCCCATCATTAGCCCTTCTGAGAGTTGCAACATTATTCATAAGTGGTCCGTAGCAAAATTTCCCAGTCAAACGGGAATGCACGTTACATAATTTTCGAGGTTGATATTATTTCTCGGAGCATTAACATCTAAACACATGTGTTGCGATATTACGTTACCCAGTGGCCAAAGAAGTAATCTAAGATACTAGTCATAAGGGACTACGTAGTTTCTCAATCGTCGGCCTCGCTAGTACAATGATTCGCTAGTACAATGCCTCGCTAGTACAAAGCTCGCAGGTTCGATCGCGGCCGCTGCGGTTGAATTCCAATGGAGGCTAAATGCTAGTGCCCCGTGTTCTCAGCGATGGCGATGCGCGTTAAAGAACACCAACCAGATGTTCGAAATTTCTGGAGCCCTATAAAAGCGCGTGTTTCATATTAAAATAATATTTCGTTTCTAGGTTGTTGAACCCCACATATTATTAAAGAGAAAGCCTTACAGGCTTCATCATATCAATCAATCAATCAATCAATCAATAATTTATTTTCCACTTCAGAAAGTAGAGGGCATGGGAAGAAAAGCCTGTTGTGAGCTTGACTAGGCTTCCCAGCCGATTACAGTTCAGCATGCAGCAATGGTATGCAGAAAGTGGCGTACATAAATATAAACACGCAGAAAGCATACATTATTCTACACGCAATTAAAAACATCAAAGATAACTTCAAAGCTGACATTTTTGACATCAGCTGCGGAATTTCACCATCCGTGAGGTCGGCGTCCCGTGTAGGTGTCGTCAGCAGGAGTGATATAAAAACGCATCGTCACGTAATGACACTACGATATGTCGTCATCACGACATCACAGATTGCCAAAATTTGTGACGCCATCTCAACGTCACGATATGAGATCATAACAACGTCACCGTGTGGCCGCATAACATGACGTCATGTGACGATGTCCCCACGTAACACCATCGCTTGATCAAAGGCTAGCTGATCACTGCGGCAGTGCACAGTGCATCCTGGAGGCATTGTGACCACGTGGGGTTATATAATGCCTCCTGCCTTGATGCATGATAGTTCCGTTGAGCATTCTAGCACACTTTACTGAAATTATGATCAGGCAATTACGTGTCAGCTGTTTGCCTACGGTAATGCTCGTGGTCAAGCAAAGATCACACGCAAGTTCTCACCTTCTCCTTCTTTTTTCTCTTCCTCTGGTTTTTTTTCACCTCCTGCGTCTCCTGAGGCACCTGCCCCATCTCGTCCATTCGTTCCGCTGCTGCCAAGATCTACGAGCACGCTGCAGTTAATAAACTTCCAACTGCATGCGCAAGCACACAATTCATAACGCACATCACGTGCTCTACTTTTAAAACATTCTCACGGCTACTTCATCTACGTTCACAATTTTAATGTAGATTCTCGATAAACACAAATACCTAAATGTTGTAGCCTACTGTGGTTCACCAAAAAAACTATATTCATACAGAACCTGCTGTGTATAAGGATTCCCCACTAGTAAACCTGCATTACTAGCCTAAAGATAGGTTTTCTTCGGGTCTGACTTGGGTAATTTCCCACGTGTGCAGAGCAGAGTGAGGCATCTGTCAAGCTGCTTAATAAGCTTTTTTTATTTTTGTCGCCCACGACGTTATCTATCATACTGCAAATAAAAAACAGAATTAAATTCTTTAGTAATACTTTTTATTCACCTTTAATGCGTACTTCAGAAATACTGGCGACAGCTTTACTTACTTTTCTTCAATAGCCAAAGAGTTTCAATAAATTAGGAAAATCGTAAACACCATATTATTGAATTGAATCCAACACTATCTTTCAAGAAAGTAGAGTGGTACTGAATTCACAGTACGCTTGGTTTACACGAACGAGTGCGTGAGCGGAGGGGCAAGGCAGGCAAAAGTAAATCACGGCGAAGCAGACGGCTGCATACGACAGCTGTGAGCGTTTATGAAATACATGTTTTCCAAGATTGCGCCTGATTTAAAATTACTATTCTTGATTAGGGAGGCAGCAATAGTAAAAGATTTCACTATAGCTACCTGATCAATTTGTTTAAAGCGGCAACAGAACTAGCAGCTCAAACGAATGAAGATGCAGTAGTAGATGAAATATATATATATATATATATATATATATATATATATATATATATATATATATATATATATATATATATATATATATATATATTGTAAGAATTCATTGAACGTCATCTTCCTCATCTGTCAACAACCATCATCAGTCTTCGCCCCGTTCTTCTTCATCATCATCGCCATCTTGCTGTTGCTTGAATAAAGCGTCAGCTGAACCGTTGTATTTCAAGTGGTGGACGTGCTTCCCGATCTCTTCGATCTCTCTCCATCCAAAGCCAACTCCTGGAGCTCCGTTCGGGGCCTCGCTTACGCCAACAGAGCACCATGGCACAAGAGCAAGCCCAACCGAACCGCCAGCCGCCAACCCTAGCCCGGTCAACAACCCCCCTCGGGAGCCCTATATCTTCTCCGGTCTGCCTGGCGAAGATGTCGAAGACTGGCTCGACAACTATGACTGTGTAGGTGTCTACAACAACTGGAACGAGGCTTCGAAATTAGCACGCGTCCAGTTTTACGTCTCTCAGGTTGCCAAGACGTGGTTCCTGAATCATGAGAGCGACTTCCGCGATTGGTCTTCCTTCAAAGAACAGCTCCGATGCATTTTCGGCACACCGACCGTCCGTTCAGAAGTTGCTCGCAAGAAACTAGCAGAACGCGTTCAACATTGCGGTGAGTCCTACACTTCCTATATTGAGGATGTGCTTGCACTTTGCCGCCGTATCGACGACACCATGCCAGAAGGTGATCGTGTCCGGCACCTTCTGAAGGATATCGGACCTACCGCTTTCAACGCCCTCGTCGCGCACAACCCTTCGACGGTTTCTGACGTCGTCTCTGTATGCCAGCGTCTTGATACCTTGCAGTCAATCCGCCTGCGACCCGACTTCTCTGAGAACCCCCTGGCAAACAGCATGGAGCTCCGATCCATCATTCGAGCCATAATTCGTGAGGAATTGCAAGCCTACAATTTACCTCCTTCTAACAACGTTCCCGCTCAACCCGCCTCTAGCGATCTGCATGGCATTATTAGGGAAGAAATGTCAGCGTTTCAAAGCACCCACCGTGCTCCACCATGCCCCGAACCCGCTTCGTATGCACACATCGCTTCAATGCAACCCTCGCCGTCTCAAGTACCACCACCTGTGCCTGATCATGAACATCTCGCACCTCTAGTCGCCCGTCCACCGAACCCAACCTACCATTCTTCCTGGCGAGCCCCACGGCCTATTTGCTACTACTGTGGAATTCGAGGACACATTTCCCGGGTCTGTCGACGTCGGCAGCAAGATGAACGTCGTGGGTATGCCGCTTTTGAACGAGACGAAACATGTGCTCGAGGTTACTACCGTTATGCCGACAGTCGTTCCAACCACCAATCACCGTCTCCTGTGCGCATTTCCAACACGACCAACAATACACGTGCATCCCGACCACGCTCCTCTTCGCCACTCCGACGCTCTGTTTCACCACTTCGGCCTGTCTCTCAACTGGATGCCCAGCGATCGGAAAACTAAACAGTGCAGTTTTTGGAGGGAAAACTGCATCGCGGCGAAATGACCCAAGTCCTCCTAAACAACCGTCAAACATGTTATTGGTAACTGTGCAAGGTGTGTGGGTGTTGGCTTTGGTGGACACGGGAGCAACCATTTCAGTTATGCATGCCGACTTGTGTTCTCGATTGCGGAAAGCGAAGACACCCTACCTTGGATTATCTTTGATTGGGGCCAATGGAGCAATAATTAGACCATCGGCCCAATGTACAGCGCGTGTCTTTATTGATGGTATTCATCATCACATCACCTTCGCTGTCTTAATATCATGTGCTCATGAACTAATTTTAGGTTGGGACTTTCTCTCATCGGCATCTGCATTAATTTCTTGCCGTCAACGTGTCGTCAAAATGACCGAGACCGATCACTGCAGCGAACGCGTCGACGAAAAACCATTGCGTTTCTTCACAGCTTCCGAATCCATACTGCTCCCGGGTCAGGAGCAACTCATCATCATCACTTCTCCGAATATTGCCAATGGTGACGTCCTTATCACCCCTTCCAGCAGCTGTCTAGCTCACGGCGTAGTAGTCCCCTCCAGCCTGGTGCGGTTCAAAGACAGTGCTGCGATAATCCTTGGCCTGAACCCGACCCCAGAGCCTGTCCTCCTACCCCAAGGTTGTGCAGTGTCATGTTATGTGGATACCCAACCGGTATCTTTGGTCTCTATCGACGCCTTCACAGCTCAGCCACAACAGGACCAGTCTGTTACTCCCTCCTCCTTTGCTCCCGGGATAAATCCTGACCTTTCTGCTTCTCAACGTGAGGCGTTGCTAAATTTGCTAACGAAACACCAGGCCTCCTTCGACGCCAATGCTTCGGTACTAGGACAAGACCACAGTTGCGCATCATCGCATCGACACTGACGGTCAGACTGTTGTACGCCGTCGTCCCTACCGAGTCTCCTTGGCCGAGCGCAAAATCATCGAAGAGAACGTGACCGATATGCTAAAAATAAACATCATACGACCCTCTACCAGTTCTTGGTCATCACCCGTTGTGTTGGTACAAAAGAAGGATGGATCGGTACGATTTTGTGTTGATTACCGCGCGCTCAACAAGATTACCCGAAAGGATGTATGTCCGATGCCCCGTATAGATGATGCACTTGACTCATTGCAAGGCGCCCAATACTTCTCCACCCTTGACCTTCGGTCCGGGTATTGGCAAATACCGATGGACGAAGCAGATAAAGAAAAGACCGCCTTTTCTACGCCGGACGGTCTTTACGAGTTTAACGTAATGCCATTCGGCCTAAGTAATGCTCCCGCCACCTTTGAAAGGATGATCGACACTGTTCTTCGTGGCCTCAAGTGGAAAACTTGTCTATGCTACCTCGATGATATAGTCGTGTTTTCTTCCACTTTCGCTGATCATCTGCAACGCCTAGATCAAGTGCTCACATGTCTCTCCAATGCTGGACTTAAACTAAACACAAAGAAGTGCCATTTTGGCAACACAGCCATAAAAGTTCTAGGACACCTCGTTAGTAAAGATGGCATCCAGCCCGATCCTGACAAAATTTCCGCAGTCCTCAACTTTCCGCGACCCTTTCGCACCAAAGAACTACGCAGTTTCCTTGGACTCGCATCGTACTTTCGCCGCTTCATTCGCAACTTTGCCACTATTGCCGCTCCGCTCCACAAGCTCCTTGCCAGTACCGGTTGCTTCGATTGGAATGATCAATGCGAAGCCTCATTTCAAGAACTCAAGCAGGCACTGACATCCCCACCGGTGCTTGGTTATTTCGATGACAGGGCACCTACGATATTACACACTGACGCTAGTGGACAAGGAATCGGTGCCGTACTCCTCCAGCGCGACCATGCCTTTCGCGAGAAAGTTATCGCGTATGCGAGCCGCACTCTGACCTCTACAGAAAAGAGGTACTTGATAACCGAACAAGAGTGCTTGGCTGTTGTCTGGTCCATCCAAAAATTTCGTCCGTACCTACATGGTCGACCTTTTACTGTTGTGACAGACCACCATGCTCTTTGCTGGTTGTCCACAATCAAAAACTTGTCGGGACGACTTGGCCGCTGGATTCTCCGATTACAATCTTATGACTTTGACGTCATCTACAAGACTGGAAGACAACATCAAGATGCCGACGCTTTGTCACAATGCCCTTTGCCGCAGTTTTCGGCGCACGTCACATCCCCTTGTCAAATTGGCTATACGGAGGACGCCTCGTCGATACCAGCCATTTCTTCCCTACCTTCATCCACCCGTCCGTCAGTACTTACTACTCACCAGCGAGCCGATTCTTACTGCACTGACATCATCGGTCGGCTTACCGGCGCTTCATCTTCCCCTAATGCCAGGCTCCGGAAACAACTCCGATTATTCAAGTTGGAGGACGATGTGCTATATCGATACATTTTCCACCCGGAAGGCCACCGATGGGTTCCCGTCGTACCACGCGCACTACGCACTGAAGTTCTGCGCGCTTCCCACGACGACCCGACGTCAGGTCACTTGGGTTACTACAAAACATACGAGCGCATCCGCAGTCGATTCTTCCGGCCAGGTCTTTCCACGACGGTAGCTAAATATATCGCCTCGTGCGCACTTTGCCAACACCGCAAGCGGCCCACAACTGCTCCAGTCGGGACCCTACAACCA